TGGAAGACCAAGGAACAGTCGGAAACAGATATGAATAGCATGAAAGGTAGTTGGAAAGAACTATGATAGAGGGCCTAGGAGACAGTAGGTTTGAGAATGCTGGTCAGTGGTCTATGCTTCATTTGGAGTAAGTAACTAATGGATAACTTTTTAATTCTTGTCATCATTACCTTAGTGATATTCATGAAAATGTACTCAAAAAGATTTTATCAGCTAATTCTCGTTTACTTACTTTTTTTCTCTCTCTATTCTAACAAAACTTCAATTACTATTAAAACGATACATGAGTAAATTTTTCACTTTTGCATTAGTAAGTCTTAATTATTCTTTATCAAGTCAGAAATATAGCTTACTAGTAAAACTCTCATTCCTGCGTAAACTTGACAATATAGCGCTTAATATTGATCTATTATGATATTGTCAAACTTCTTACTATTAGTTTTTTAATAAAAAAAAAACACCTAGTCGGAATCGCATTAACGCCAATTATAAAAATGTTTCAACATTATTATTCCACCTGAACAACTCATTTTCATTCAAAATTTTTATTACAAAAAGCAATCATCTTTCATCTTAAATTGAACCTTAATGCGCTGGAATGATGATGATGATGTTTTAATTGAAAATGGTTTGTATTGTATTTTCAAAGAAAACGTTAAGTTTTATTTTCTTTTTAAGAAAAGAAAATACACATTGATATTAGTTTTTGTGTATACAAAATAATATTTTTGTAATTTTCTTAGTGATCAGATAAATAACTACTTTGTTAATTCATTAATATTGATGCAGGCGGGTGAAAAATATTTTCAGATAATAAAAAAGTAATACCGAAATTGTAAGGGAGAAAACAAAATAGGTTTTGATGAAATTCACATCATTTTCGTAGGTGATATGGATACAAGCTCAATCATATTTAGTCACGGTAATTCAGTTATTATTATTATTATTGAAATCACGAATTAAATATTGTTAGACTACCACTAGAAACCTGGAAACACTGGACGGCAATTATGTCCTGGTGTGGGACTCCTCAGTATTGCGTATCCACGGCTCCCGGCACTCGTAGATTCGAACTAAAGATCTTCAGTTTTGCGTACGAACGCCTAAATTCTGGACCATTGAGACAGTACCCAACGGTGTTAATGTTCAACTCTGTTCAATCTAGGGATTTAGCGCGACCAAATCGCTAGAGTGATCAGCGTTAGACATAAACACCTTAGATGCCGGCAGAGTGGTTCAGACGTTAGTCGTTCACATACACGATCGAAGGTCCTGGGTTTAATTACTGAGAGCGATAGGAGTCATGGATGCCCAATGCTGGTAAATCCCATAACAGGACGAATCTGTCATTCAGTGGTTCCAGGTTTCTAATGATAGTCTGACAATAATTCTAATTGAAAGAACAAAAATATTCATCAAAAATATACTGCTATTGACGTTGGATGGTAGATGATCGATTTTTGGAAAAAAAAAATAAACTTATAGTTAGATGATTATTTACGTTCAGGATGCGTTTTTAGTTGATGAATCTGACATAATTCACCCAACTGGTCACCAGACTCGTTTCCCTTAATCCCGTTTTTGAAAGGGAACTGAGCAATGATCATCAAATTAACTCGTGTCTAAATTAGAATCCCTGATAAAGAAATGATTTCCCTAAATGTTATAAACTCTTGGGGACGTTAGATTCCCAAAAGTCGCTGGACAAATATCTTAATTCTGGATTTCATTCGAAGGGCTGATCAGTTGACCTTGAGATCATATTTCTCCCTCCAGGAAAATCCTCAGCTGTGATTGGTTACTGTATTATTTTAGTGTGCTATTTTAATGACTCTACCAAGGACGTTTCTGTGATGTGTAAATAAACACGATTCGTGTGCTTGAGATCATTGTGTCACTGGTTCATTATCTCGTTCTCATTTATCGACTAAGGTGACCTCGTAATAGCGTTCAAGCATATCAACTGACGAGCATAACATAAACACAGTTCTCTCGTAACTCAGAGTAAGGTGAATGTCCATATTTAGTTTAATTAATGAAAATACCAAACTATCAGTCTCTCAACTGAAGCCTAATTGACAGAATGATGCAAAGAATAAGATAGTGTGATATTTGCAATGAATCAAACGAGGGGAATGAACACAATTTACATGGTCTTCATATCTGATGAATAAAATCAGTGTGCTTAATAAAAGACATAAGCATTATTTAACATGACCCATAACATCCATACATACACTTGAATAGTACTTGTGAAATAATTAAAACAACAACAGATTCAGTGTGACTGAAATTAAAATAAAAATGCAATAATGTAAACTGACAGATATAATTATAGATTAAGTTTATTAAATAACTATGATGCTATAGAGTACAGTATTTTTAACACACTTCAACAAGTCTCATACACAAGTGTAACATTGACATTGGACTATTGAAAAAAATGATAACTAACTAATTCAATTTATTAAATTTTAGTGTAAAATGAAGAAGAAAAGGCAGAATTATTATTATTATGATAAGAATATAAAACAGTAAGATTTAAACTATAACATCATTTTTCTTGCCAATCATCAAAGATATTTATTTATTTAGTCAATTTATTAAAAATAGAACATTCTGTTTAAGCAATAAAATCAGTGATGTATTGTTAGTTAGTTAGTTAAGTTTGTTCCCTGCCGATTGGGCATAGGCCGCTGACCAGCATTCACCAACCTACTGTCTCTCTCCTGGGTCTTCTTTCCCGGTAGTTCTATCCAGTTGTTATTCGTTCTTTGTCTGCTTCCAGTTATATCAGAAAATATAGTTCGTCGGGGCGATCGGTGGTTAGGTATTTGTAACACATGTCCCAACCATCTCAACTGATAAAGTTTCAATACTTCATCTATTGATCTGCTATCCTTACCTAGAACTCGTTTCCTAATGGCAGCATTGCTTACTCGGTTGTCCCACGATACACGAGCAATACTTCTAAGACATCTATGATCGAGTACTAGTAACCTACGAATATCTTCTACTCTTACAGGCCATGTTTCGCATTCATATAGGAGAATGGAGCGAACTGCTGCGCAGTAGACTCGTCCTTTGGTAAGCAAACGAATATCTCGCCAACACCATAAGTGACGTAAGTTGACAAAAGCCAATCAAGCCTTCTGTATCTGTGCTGAGATTGCGTCAGTCGTCAGGCCATCAACAATGATGAGACTCCCAATATAAGTGAAGCAGTCGACATACTCAACTACTTCACTCCCTGTCACTAGTTCAGTTACTGATGTAATTAAGGCATTTTGATACGTACATAAAATCTTGAATAATATTTACAATAAATTTTGTTCATGATCTTTTTATGTTTTATTTTTTACTATCAACCTTCTCTTGTACTTGTGGCGTTAGACTTTCGTTATCTTCGATTTGTCGTATATCTTCGTCTTGATGATCGCTATGAGAGAACACAAGTCGTTGCCACAATTTCTTTATTATTCAAATTATTTACTGATCGACACAAATATCGGATTCAATTCAAATATGTATAGTCGATATTGACATCGAATTATTCAAACTGTTAATCGATACAACTAGTCAAATAACTATATGTGTAGGTGGGGCAAGTAATGCCCAAGCGTACATGAGCATACAAGCTCAACAATGATAAAAGTACAAGATATATGTGAGGTGCTACATACTTATTTTTCTATTAAAAAAAACTCACGTCATATTACAACTCAAATTCTAAAAGCTGTAAATATATTTTGTTATGATGCTTCCTTGTTGAAACCATTCTGAATATTGGTGAACTTTTTTTTAAAAATAAAGCAGAAACAACAATACTTCTAGAATAAAATCAATTTGAAGCGGTTCCTCATCTAGTTACAAAGCGGTCTAAGTTTACATTGTAACCATATTTTATTATAAAAAACTGTAATCAATGGTAGTTTCATTTCGAACTAACGTAAGAAACATGATTGTCACGATTGACTAGTATTTTATATGTCACACATCAAATCATGACAAAAAAAATGAGGAGAACAGGGTGAAGTATAAAACAGACAAACTGTTAACAGATGAATAATAATCAAGTCGTCTAATTAACATAATATTAAAGTGATTATCTTGAATTCATGTCAATGGAAGTGTTTTGCCGGTTCGAAACCACAAAAAAAGCGATAATCTGATTGACAAGCATTACCATAGTAATGATAAGTGCACCACACTTTGTTTCTGTACACTTAGGTCAGATTGAAAGTATTTTAATGTAATACCTCATAATACAAATCATATCATATAATAAAGATTACTAATGTAAACTTTTGCCCATATTTGTAGCTGAAAAGAAGTCTCTTGAACTCTGATGAATTGATTTTATCCTAAAAACTGTTTAATGTTCATCTCTTTTCAGTGTAACTTATCTATTGTGTTCGTCACTGAGTATACTTGAGGCTATTACGAGTTCACCTTAGTCGATAAAAGCGAACGAGACAATTGCCAGCGTCCAAGTAGGCTAACTTGAATCCCAAGCTGAAGATAAAAGGCTTTGTAAGCGTAGAAAGTATATTCTACAAACACCCAGCAATCACAATACAATCAAGCATACAACTCTCGTTTATTTATACATCATAGAAACGTCCTTGGTACAGTTACGAAAATAGCACACTAAAATACACAGCAGCCAATCACAGCCATGGATTTTCCTGTTTGAAAATGAAATCTCAAGGTCAACTGATCAGCCCATGCTGGCAAACGTGAAAACCGAAATAAGGCATTTATCAAGCGAATTTCGGGGATCTAACATCCGCAACATTATCAAATGGGTCGGGTTGTATCAGGTTATTTAAAATCATCAGTACTTTATTCATGTCCATATAGTAAATCATTTTGTCCCTTAACTTTGATTCATACAATACACAACTCTGATTAAATTACTAGGATAATTACATGAGATATTATTTCTTATATATATTACATTTGGAAAAAATATGTATTTATATGAATTTGAAACAAACCATTTTCATTGTATTGAAAGTCAGTAACATTTGATGGACATGGTAATTTTGCCAATTGTCCAGCCAATGTAGGTGGCCAACATTGATGAATGGAATTTAATGTTGGTTGACAATAAGACATGTTCATACCTAAAGCAGGAAAACAGTACGGTAAAAGTGTTTTAAAAGAACAACCAGAATAAACACATATCTACTATATGAATATGTTAAAAAAATATACAATAACTTGCCTACATTGTTTTTTATCACATAAACTAATATTTGTCAGATAAAACCATGTATTACTGATCAGCTGTTTTGTTTGGGGGATGAGACATTGTAGCAGTGTGCGAGTCCGCAATCCCACTACAAAGGATTGGGGCCAAAACTTTGGCGTCACGCCGCAAACTCTTAACTTATCGATTACCGAGCCATTGTTCAGTGAACTACAGTATTTAAGTGGTTGCCTGACTAAAATTACTCAGTGAATGAAAACTATCGAATTCAAGAAGCAAAGTAACCCACTAAATAATTGAAAAAGAAATAAGATAACATTCCTGAGTATGGCACCTCCTTAATGTGAAACATCACTAAAACTGTTCCACCGTAGTCATGGAATTACTGGTTTAATGTTGCTGTTTTGAATTTTATACATTTTTTTAAAATTACTGATTACCATTTGTTTGGGACATTGGATGCCTAGAACTCGCTTGATAAGTACCTTCATTTCGGATTTTATTCATGGGCTGATCAGTTGACCTTAAGATCACTCACATTTTTCACCAGGGGAATCCTCGGCTGTGATTGGCTGTATTTTAGTGTGCTATTTTTGTGACTCTGCCAAGAACGTTTCTATCATGTATAAATAAACGCGATTTGTATGTTTGAATTCTTTGTGTTTGCTGGGTGTTTGTAGAATATACTTTCTACGCAATATCAAAACTTTTTGGTTACTCATAGGATCACGGTAGCCTACCTGGACGCTGGTTCATTGTCTTGCTCTCGGTTATCGACAAAGGTGATCCCGTTATAGTTTCAAGCATACCTAGTGACAACCTTAACATCATTTTACTAGAAAAACCAATAAATTATAACATAAACAGTATTTTTTGTCTTTGTTAAGCTATAAATCATGATACTCAGACTCATTTACATATGCAAAAAGATTGTATTCATAACATTTGAATGTTTTTGTCTGTATGACATAACATCTTATTGTTCAAATTAAATCTATAATATTTCTGTCAGTGGATAAAACTCGCAGATTTTACAATATGGGTCAATTAGGGAAGAGGCGGGAGTAACTATGACTCTATTAAAGTAGCCAAATGCCTCGTCATCTAATTGAATGAGTATATTAGATGACGTGCATAAATGGAGCCTTTTCGGTGGGGGCTACCTCTTCGTGCTCCTGCCAGGGAACGTGGCGTTCTTTACAGTGATGCGGCTAAAAGCCGTTCCGAACGCTTAGGATACCGTGACTAATATGGTCCAGCTTCCTGTGGAGTTTGGGGGCTCCGATCGATTGTATCAGCGCAAGGCAGTAGAAGGTTGAAACGGCTGCTGGTTAGTGCACTTCTGTGTGGCTCGGTAATCTATTTCGAGGTGCCAGGTCTAGCTGGAAAAGCCCGCCTTGCTGCCCTTACCAATTGGGGATTATATGCAGTGGATTGGTTGAAGGGATCTTATTGATTCATTAATGCCCGAACAAGGTCCACTGCGTTCCAGTATGGTGCAGTGGTGATCGCAAAATTGGCTATTGTGAGAATCCTTGTGTTGCCTAAAAAGCAGTGGCGTACATGTGCAACAGGCTTGTTGGTTAACCATGAAATAAGGATAACTTTTCATAGAATAAAGAAAATATATACGCATTCGACCGTGTTTATTGAAAAGCTAACCGAATTCTAATCGATACTGTTAAAAATTATTCACAAATTAAAGTTTTAAGGTAACTAGTGTACTGTTACTGATCCTGTGGTGAAGGAGAACACAGGTGAGGGCAACCGAATTGTATTTATCGCAAATTACAGAGTTACTCAGTACATTAGGAAAACCATATCGTAAACCGTTAATTTGCAAAACATCAATCCATCATCAATACATTGTCTGACATTTCACTATTCATGCGTTTCATACAAATTCCATTGTGTTCTCACTCTTCATTTCTTGAGCTTCCCCCATCTTCTGCTGCCAGACATTACGTTGACACTCGCGTCATATACTACTTATAAGTAGCGCGCACCACAATACTACTTCTACCACAAGATTGATAGTAATATCAATATCAATACTCCTACTTTAGATGCAAATATAACCACAAAATTACATCAATCAAAAAGGAACTTATAGTGGGTGTACAAATGTAATTTCAGTTTTATAAAAGATTAGTGAGATAATCTTTGAATTTGTTTCCCATCAATGATATTATGAAATTCCTAGTAAATTATAGCGAAAACAGGAAACAGAGTTTCAATCACTTTATTTTCGCATTTCACACTTATGAACACATGATTGTGTGTTTGTGCAATCCAAAGATATGAATGTATGTTTTGGACAAATGTAAATAAGTAAACCTTTTCTATCAATGTAGAAAATGTATTAGTCAACTGGGTACTTTCAGTAGTGTTCTGTGTTATGTGTACTAGATAGTAGTTGAATTAGAAAGATTTTATAATCAAACTAGACAATATCATCACACTATAATTCACATAGAAATGAACTTTCAATTATTATTATTATTTTTTAAGCAGTAATGTAGTACATTTCTGCATTGATCAGTTGTTAACCTTTCTGTTTGATTGACCTACAAAACAGGTGACTGATTGACATTTTTTTTCCTTATGGGATTGAATATTTGGATCTTTGATAATACAAGTTTCAAGCCACCTATATCTTATATATTTTGAAAAATTGTTCACGAATATGAAAGTTTCTTAATCGAGAATTTTGAAATTCTCCCTACCATTTTTAGCTATTTGTGTGCATTGACAATAGCAATAACATTTCATGTCAATTCTGACGATCATTTTTGATCTCTGTAATTGTATATGAAGTGAGGCGCCATTTTTCAACTCGGTACTTCTCATGGTTGACGTAGTCTACTTTCTAGACAACATCCTATTTGTCACTCATCATCTAAGTATTTTGTAGTCTGCATAAATTCGATCACAGTGGTTCTGTTGGTTTTTCAGAATGACATTAATTCTGAAAGATTTTTTAAAAATCAAATAGTGATTTATTGATATATTTTTTTTGATCGTTTGTTCAATCCGATTCTGTTCAATGGTTTCTAGGAATGATTTAATTTGATTGGTTGGTCGCTTTTTGGTGAAATTCTGTTGGGGACGTTAGATCCCCAGAAATCGCATGATGAATGCCTTAATTTGAGATCAAATTTCTCACCAGGAAATTCCTTGGCTGTGATTGGTTGATGTGTTATTTAAGTGAATCCGTCAAGGACGTTTCTATGATGTTTAAATAAACGCGATTTGTGTGCTTGAGATCATTGTGTGTTTGCTGGGTGTTTGTAGAATACACTTTCCAAGAAATATCAAGACTTTTTCTTCAGTTAGTTGGGTCAACGGATTAGAGTAGCCTACCATGTCACTGGTTCATTATCTCGTTCTCGTTTATCGACTGTGGTGAACGTGTAATAATTTCAAGCGTATCAAGTGACGAGCATAACAAATCCTATGGTTAGGTGTTTAAAGAAAAACAGATGAAAGATTGGTTTCTTCGATTTTCCTTATAATGAAATTGTTACAACTGGTTTCAGTTTTTTGTTTGATTAGTGTCTTCATACAGCAATTCCTGCATGCCGTTGAATTATTACTAATTTAGTTTACCATTTAATTTACATGACTTAAAAATTCTGTCTGTCTGTATTTTCTTTTTTAAAATATTTGTTTTTTTCCCTCAATCAATCTATTTTGTTTTAATGAACGACTACTAGTCAACAAGTTTTTACATAGTAAAGGGAAACTCACAAAATTTGAACATTGATCAATATCTATTCAAACATGCTTCTAAATGGCAGTGATCATTCATTATTATTGCTAAACTAGTTGATTTCACTTAAACTTTTAGACTCATATATTATTTACAAAACATTTTGATCCGATTATAACTGTGAAAATCTCATAGAGGAAAAATTATCGTTATATATGTAATGTTGTTTAGTCCAACGAGTAATGAAGACAGATTGAGATTAATTCCGAAAAAAAACGCAATGATTTCATATTGGTTTATGTTCAAAATTTTGTTCAGTTTACGTTACCTAATTTATATTTATGTATCTACATTTATATGAAAGTAGTTGATTTGACAGAATAAAATCAGAGCATTGCTTAAGTTTACCACTTCCTGACCAGTAAATCTGTATATTTTTGTCTTATTGAAATAATCGTGCTTTTAAAAGACTAAAGAAATGAAATTACCTTAATTATGTAAATCTGTTGGAACCTACGAGATGCCAAGCAATTGTGTCTCCCTAAAAAACAGCTGATAAATTTTATATGTGGAAAAATATTCATCTTGGATTCGACTGCTAGCCAGCAATATACTAATTATATAACAGACAGTATACTCTATCTGAAGTTTATGCTGATGATGTTTTTCAGAGGAACAATGAAATTTCCACAACCAAAACATTCTAAAAATCGACTGAATTTCAAAATTGAATGATGATGTTTTTTTTTCGACAAGTCTGGAAATGTTTCATTTGTGTTATACCGGTGTATTGATATGTTTGAAACTATTATGAGTTCACCTTTTTTCGGTAAACGACAGCGAAGACAAATGATCCAGTGACACCATAGGCTACTCTAGTCAGAGTGTCCGAGGACTCCACTAAGTAGAGGAAAAAGTTTTTACACAAGACACAGAAAGTGTATTCTACAAGCACTCAGAAAACATGAGGTCGACAATCACACAAATCGAGTTTATTTATGCTTCACAGAAACATTTTTGGGAGAGCCACAGAAATAGCTTAATAAAATAATCGATCAACCAATAACAGTCAGGGATTTTCCAGATGGGCAGTGTAATCTCAAGGTCAACTGATCAGCCCATGCATGCGCTAAAACATAAAATCCAAAATTATGACCTTTATTAAGTGAGTTCTGGAGGATCTAACGTCCCCAACACAAT